CACTTTTAATAAGCACAAACTTCATATTTAAAAATATATATATAGTTAGTGATGGATTTTAACTGTATCCTTACTGTTAACAAAGACACATGACATTGATCTGTGATAGTACACTGTTATAACTGCTTTTGAGAACAAAATATGAATAATTGAACTCTGTCTGTAGGTTTGTGACTGCCTCCAAAGTGATTCTGATGGCAAGAGGTCTTCAGAGGATTGTTGCTCGCCATCAAAGAAGCCCGTCAGTCCATGAACCTATTAAAAAACTGGTGGACAGCCTGATGTCTGAAATGCAGAAGAGGTTCAGCAAGGTGGAGCATATTGAGAAGCTTGCTGATGCAACTTGTTTGGACCCAAGGTTCAAAAAGCAAGCTTTTGTTAACAGCAAGGCTGCAGAGGACACTGTGAAGAGAATCACAGCTGCTGCAGCACACAACCACCCCAGTCACAGTGAGGAGGAGGAGTCTCAAAATCCCTCTGTGGCTGCCAGCACAGGGGCCATGTTTTGGGAAGACTTCGATGAGAGGGTTGCAAGCACCAGGGCTTCCACTTCCTCAGATTCTGCCACATCGAGCACCTCAACTGCTGCCATGATGGAGATGCGGGCCTACTTGGCAGAGCCACTCCTATCCCGCTCATCAGATCCTCTGGCATGGTGGAGGATGTGCTCGCCCGTATTCAAAACTCTGTGTGAGGTGATGAAAACTAGACTGTGCATTGTGGCCACATCTGTGCCCTCTGAGAGAGTTTTCTCAAAGACTGGGCAGATAATCACAGACAGACGGAACAGGCTCAGCCCCTCCAAGGTCCGCCAGCTTGTGTTTCTAAATGCCAACTTGCCTTAAAGCTGGCCTTTAATATACATGTGTCACTTTTAATTGTGCAATATTGTTGGTTTGGTTTGCTTTTTATTTAATTTTATTCTTATTTAACTTTTTCTATTTAACTTTATGTCTCTTACTCTTAGATGTGTATGTTGTGTATATAATACACATGTGTCACTTTTAATTGTGCAATATTGTTGGTTTGGTTTTTATTTAATTTTATTCTTTAACTTTTTCTATTTAACTTTATTTTTGTCTCTTAGATGTGTGTAGTGTTGTGTATATAATGTAAAGTGTGTTTTATATATAAGTCTCTTTAAAAATAAATATTTTCGAAAATTCTATCAGCATATTTATTGTGTTATACTCTGCCACAAAATAATAAAACATAACAATGATAACAACAAACACAATAAAAATAACAATAATAGTAATAATAATAATGTCACTTTTTGGACACAATAAATGCACCATGTAAACATAGGCAACTCATCAACTATTATTTTTTTGTTTTAATTGTATCATTAATTGTCAAAATTAGTTTTACATTCGCTGTCCTCTCCCCAGCTGTCATGTGATCGACTGCTCGGCCGAAAGGGTCTCTGTCTGCTTAGGCTGTGGAGCAGAGCAGTACTTGTTCTCGTTCAAATCGTTCATTTGTCACATGACTCGCGGGCTGACCGGGTCTTTCTCGTTCATCGTTCACAGCTCAGTACTTCGTTCTCGTTCGTCCAACTGGTTCCTTTGTCACATGACTCGCGGGCTGACCGGGTCTTTCTCGTTCATCGTTCATCGGTTCACAGCTCTGGCTCAGGCTGACACTGTGCGCCAGCAACATTGCTTCTCTCTGATTGGTCTGTTTTCACTGTCACGTGACAGTTACCCAGACTGCCGTGCTGTTAAACAATGATAACAGAGAGGATACAGGACACAAGTTACATTATTGTGGTGTGTGTTAGCTTTCCTGGGTTTTCAAATGGCTTGAATAGCTTATGGCATTTTGTGTGTTATACTTTGTCACCGTAAGCAAACCATCTTGTCTTCAGTATTTATAGTTGGAGAAAACACGTCGTCGGCATGAGTCCTGCATTGTGGGCCACTACAGCGCCATCTGCTGTACAAATGAACGAAATGATTCGTTCGGGACTCGTTCAATTTACTGTTCGAGAGTTAAAGAATCGAATCAGAGGAAAGAACCGGTTTTCCCATCACTAGCGATGAGGCGGAGGAGGAGAATGGCTCTTCTTTCATTAGCAGGGCGTCGTGTAAGTATTGTATTCATCCTTTGTCTATATAGCAGGGGTGCCCAAAGTGGGGCCCGCGGGCCAAAGTTGGCCCGCCAGACCATTTCAGTTGGCCCGCCAAACATTGCCCACCTCCGCTATAAGTTTCTATCTGCGTCCCTCAGCCTCACTGAACAAACAGTGACATGTCTGAGGTCGCGCGGGCGCATAGTCGCCCTCTGAATTACGATTGTCCAGTACTTAACTGTTGCATCGAGATACACTCCTCACTCATGGTTCACATCAACTTGCACTAAAATGTTTTTTAAAATCAAACACATCTTTCAAAACAATTGGGTGCAAGGCCCCTTTATGTTCTTTTTTTCAGCCTACTATTATTATTTTTTGGAGCTATTTAATGTTTTATCAAATTGAGAGGATTATGCTGCCGAACTGCCACTCCCCCTCCACACCGGAGGGAAATGGCGAGTGGAACTATTCACCTGCGCAATCCGGACCCACCCGGTGTGTTAAAAAGGACGGACACAAACACTTCAGAGTGAGTTCAAGCAGGGCAAGCAGGGATCGCAGCGCACGATCCAAGCAAGTAGAAGCAACAAATACTGTGCAAAACAAACTCTTCTACAACCCCATGAAAGAAGCCGGTAAGCGCCGTCCTCACTCGCGATCATTGAATGTCAGACAGAACTTACGCAGAGTTTTATGATGCGTTCAAGAGCCCTTTGGAGGAGCGGAAACTCGGACTCTTTAACAGTTACTTTGTTTTGATTGTTTATAAATGTTGTACTGTGTTTAGGCAAAACAAAACAAAACTCCAGGAACAAATCATGGTTAACTAGTCTGATTTTGTTAGTTTAATATTCAGTTCACTACTAATTGAGAATACTTGCCCTATGTTAAAAATATTAAGTTAAAACAGAGTTAAAACCTGGTCATGTTTAGAAAATGCAGTTAGCAATTATGTTCCTAAATTCATTACTTAATGTTAAAATGTATTGTTTAAAAGTGTGCTAAAACCAGATCTATTGATCAGTGATGTCTCCCCTTTTTGATAAAAGCTAAGATAAAGTAATATGATTCCAATGTAGTTAAAAAGTATTGTTCAAAATAAATATATGAAAATAGACTTGGAAATTGCTTTGGCTCAGTGCAACAGAGATAATAAAAATAAAGAATAAAAAACACTTCTAAGGAAAAAATTTAAATTTAAAATAGAGTTACAGTTACTATTTACAATATACAAGTGCACATGGTGCACACAAAATGTATGTTTCTGTTCTCTTTTTGAGGTTTTATTATATGATTTTAACCTTTAAATAAGCCATGACAGAAAATCTCCCTCCTCTGGACCCTGATTACCCGGCCGGAATCTTTCCGTACTGTAGTCTCCTCAAACCTGCATATTTCCCTGGAGTCTCCACTTCACTAAGACTGTGTTGATTTAATTCATTCAGCTGTGATTCGTGATGGACAATAATTAATGCATTTAAAAGAACTTGATCAAATCTACATTTATTTGTGTTTCATGCATAATATCGGTGTATTTGGCCCGCGGCCCACTGGCAAATTTTTACTTTGGCCCTTGGAAGCAAAAGGTTTGGGCACCCCTGCTATATAGCATTAGCACCATCTACTGGGTAAATTATAGTACTTTTGGTGTACTTACTAATTAAAAATACTATTCTCAGTCAATGAGAAACACATTAGTCATATACATTTAGACATATTTCAACAAGAAAACACATTGTATAGACACACTCACTTAAAATGCAAGAACATTAAAATATTTTATTGGTTGAAAGAACACAAAACCATAGCAAGGGAAATGGATTAAGTACTCATTTTTTCTAAATGAAAAATGAGTACTTAATCATTAAACAATAATAGAATTTGCTTGGCCATGGGGCATAGGGCTTCTGTGATTTTTTTGTGTGTTATTAGGTGCGAGTGATGTAGTGAGGGTTTCTACTTCAGTTGTCTCAGGGCAGCTCCAGCTCCCTGCAACACACAATACATTTGGCAAAATCAATGCCAGGGCACAAAAGAACATGACTTCAGCTATATACTCTTCATTTTTATTTACATTTTTAAATCTCAAAATGAAAAATGAGTACTTATTCCTGTGTCTGCACTCATAACTAAAAGTGCAGATACAGAATTAAAAAATGAATCTAGAAGCATCATATTAAGTTTAAGAGAATTTTTGTTTTGTTTTAGGGTGAACCACCGGTGTACTGCCGACTGAACCACCATGTACCCCTACTCAGCATGTACTTAAATGGCCAGTCTGACCTTCGCCCCGATTTTCGCCTCACTCGAACCACCATCACCCGTCTGGTTAGCCACCTGAGGAGTGCTCATCACCAGGGCTGGAGCCAGGACATGGAGGTTTTGGTCTTCCTCTTTTGGTTGGCCAGTGGCACCGCGTACCGTGTTGTCGCCAGGGCATTTGACATGCCCCAGTCCACAGTCCACGATGTGATCCACAGGGTGGCCAACCAGATCCTTCAAATGCGTGGCCAAATAATTCATTTCCCTTCCCTGGAGGAACTTCCCCAAGTTGCAGCTGGGTTTCAGTTGCTGGCTGGATCAGCTGCTCTCAATAATGTTGTGGGGAGCATCGACGGCTGCCACATCAGAATAAAGCCCCTTCAAGAGAATGCACAGTGTTATTTTAACAGGAAATTGTTTTATTCCATTCAAATGCAGGCTGTGTGTAATCACCGTGGCTTATTTATTGATTTGTTTGTTGGCTACCCCGGATCTGTGCACGATTCTCGAGTGCTTAAAAACAGCCCCCTCTACGTCCACCGGCTCTATCCCCCAAATGGACACGTCCTCCTTGGGGATGGGGGTTACCCTTGCCTCCGTCAGCCCATCACACTCCTCCCTCCATACAGAGAGCCTGTTCGGAGCCCAGTGGAAGCCCGCTTCAACCGGCACCATGCACGGGCACGATCTGTAACAGAAAGAGCGTTTGGTATGATGAAGGCAAGATGGCGATCAATTTTTTTCCAAGGCACTGGAAGTCCAACCCACCTTTGCAGTCGAGGTGACTGCCTGTTGCGCCATCCTGCACAACATCTGCATCAGCGATGGTGATCTCTGGGAGCCAGTGGAAGAGGAGCCAGGGCCTGATGATGAGCAGGACCAGCATCAGCAGCACCAGCCTGATCAGCAGTGTGGACAGGAGCTGTGTGGACGGGAGCTGTGTGGACAGGAGCTGTGTGGACAGGAGCTGTGTGGACAGGAGCTGTGTGGACAGGAGCTGTGTGGACAGGAGCTGTGTGGACGGATGGCAGCAGCACTTTCCACCCCAAGGGCCAGGCTACCAGCTCTTCGGGACCACGACTATTAATTAAATGTTTGAATAATCTGTGTTTTGGCCTATTTAAATAAAAACAAAAACAATTGAATATGTAAATATCTAAAAAGAAATTGTTGAATGTATGTATAGTTTTCTTTACAAATGTCTAGTTGATTAAAATTTTTTTGTGTAAATAGTGTTCATCATTGTACGTCGATATGCATAGAGTTCAAACTACACTTATCAAAATACATTTTTATCTACTATTTACAACTTCTCAACAATTCATCCATGAGGGAGTATCACTTCCAAGATATGGCGATGGGCTCCCCTCCTTCTGTCCCTGTGCGTGGCTGTCTGAGCTCCTTAAAACAGTGAGTTTTGTATAATAAATGCTTCACAAATTAGCTTCAAAGAAACAAACCTTGTAGGTCTTTTTCAGGTTCTCCCACTTCTTGGCCGCTCTGGCAGGGCTGATCAGGCGGCTCAGCCCCATTTCCTTTATTACTGCCCTAAAGTAACGATACATAAAAACATTTGAATATGAGTAGACGTTTTTTGAATAAGCATTTATTCATAATGGTCATACTCCCATCCAGCCGCCGAAGCAAATTTTTCACCCGCAGTCAGATGAGTCTCTCCACATCAGTGTCTGTCCCTTTAAAAAACATTAAACACACAATAAATGCTATACATATAACACAAGTGCTTTAATAACATTAATGACTGACCACCAGTGACCCGTTTCTGTAGCGTTCGCTTTAGATGTTAATGTTATGATATGCAAAAATGCTAACACTTTCGCGGCATAACATTGGTACGTTGTTTCGCAGTAAAAGGCAATGGTATTCTGACTTCAAATGTGTATTTTGGCAGCTTATCGTCAACAATATATCACGGTTTACACATTTACATATTTATGATGATTAAAAACTCACATTTGTAGCTCATGTCCCGCTTCTCTTCCAACCCGTCTCTCTGTGCCTCCGCCATTTTACTTCCGTCTAGTGACCATCGCTGCTCACTACATTTTCGAGATGCATTGTGGGAAAATTCCAGTGCACTACTTTTTCTCTCTGGACATTCGGACACCCCTACAAAATGGCGTGACCACTATATAGTGCACTATATAGGGTATAGTGTGGACATTCGGATACAGCCCAAGTCGGACATGAACATACTTCACAAATATCTCAAAAGCATTGGTAAAGACACAGACCAGAGTCATATAATAAAACATTTATTAACCTCGCTTGCTCCGTTAATAAGCCGTTAGTATGATACACCGCTGTATGATACACAGATGTCGCAACACACTTGTAAGTAACGCTATGTGTCGTCGATGACAACACTACACAGAACAACAAACACTACAGCGTGATAGAACGCTATATTCAGTGGGGGCGTTCGTAAATGTATTCTGCCGCTCTGAATGTGCGCGAGCACGGCCCGTGTCCGAGGCCCGAAGCCCGGCCCTCGGGCTGTCGGGGCCTTCGGGCCAGGGGCTCAAGTGCAGGGCTCTAGTCCAGGACACTTTAACATTCTACATGTATGACATTTATGTGTCTTAACTGTTGATTCTCTGATCTGTGTTGGTGATTTCAATGGTTTTGTTAAGTCTTCTGAGAAGATGCTGTTGTGATTTAGGGAAATACAAGAATAAATTGTATTGTTTTGTATTGTATTGTGGTCATCCACCCCCTATAGACCAATGTGTTTGTTATTATAGCAAGTGCCACGTTCAAACTGTTTGATATTAGGCTTCTGGACAAAATGACAACTTTGTACATTCCTCTGAGACGACTGCTGTAGTGATTCAGGGATATATTAATGCAACCGTTTAAAAAAAAATATTGCCCGGAATGAAGCCCTGCGCGGTCGAAACGCGTTGGTCCCTTTCCCACATTAAAGGACTTTTTATTAATTAGAGTGCCTCAGATTTTACCCTGTGTTTACTTTTCCACAGAAAGGGTATCTTTGTTTTTGCTATATTAATACAAATGGAATTGAATTGAATCCAAACCATAAAAAACTCACTTTTGATCTAATAAAAACCTACTTAAAATAACAAGCTTTTCCCCTTCATCAGCTTTTCCAGTGGATTACATAAAGCTCTCAAAACTAACCACAGCAGAACGGCGCTTCAGGAGACTTGGACACGCCATCTTGCTTCCTCCTCGCTCGCAGACTCCATTTCCCAGAAGGCATCAGCAACACCTGTTCCTGCTGAGGCACACATCAAAAGTGACATTAGAACATCTGTCCAGCGCTTTCCCGCTCACGCTCTTAGTGCACATGATGACTTCACTTCCAAAGGCCCAACGCGAGAGCCTCATTAATTAGGCAAGCAAAATAGCCATCATTATCCGAGTATGAAAAATGTTGTCACGGTGAAGGACACGATTACATGGGAGACTGTGTGTTTTTGAGTACACAAGCACACAGCTATGGGGCTACAGCTAATGTAAACACAATGTCTGCTTATTACTCTCTTTTATCATGTAAGAACCACTGCTCTCTGTCGTTTTTGAGTGGTTGGCGTTAACAAATAAGGGCTATGCTAACCGGCTGTTAGCATACTCAGATCGTTTGGTAGTAGTGGTAGTTTATTTCTTCAGTCATCGTGTAGATTAGAAATTCGGTCACATGTTTCCAAAGATCAAATACATTTTATAATAAAGAAAAAAAAGAACTAAAACGTGTCTGCCAAGAATTTAGTGCTAAATAATGCCGGACCGAAACAGGTTTAGGCTGAAGTACTAGGCTCATACTGTCTTAGCTCTGTTGCAGCTCTGACAATACGTCCCAAAGGATAGGTTAGAACTGTTTGGAGAAGAAACGTGGCTCTGTTTTGTGTTCTAACCATGGATCTATAATAATAACTAGATAGGGTATTACTAGCTTATACAGTAGCAGTCCCACCCATGGGCACAGGGGGCGCTGTGGTACTGCAGACTAAATTCACGCGGGCTACCCAGAAAAAAGTCCCATAGAAGTCAATGTAGTGTAGATTATGTCCATTGTAAAAATACAATGGACATAATCTTCACAATGTTCAAGCAGATCATCCAGAGCAGAATGAGGCAAAAAACAGCATCACACATTTGTCTTAATGAAAGCAGATACAAAAATATGTATGCGTACACACTACATTGAGTTTTGCCATTTCTACCTTAAGCCTGTTTCACACGAGACGATTTTAAAATTGTCGAACAATTTTTTCTCTGTGTGAGACCTCACACACGGAGATAAATAATCATGGGTCTAACACTTTGGTCGTACAGTGTGTGGTGCAGCCACACGGCAAGATCACACAAACGACACACATCACACACGAACAGATTTCTCCCCCGAGCATTCCCAGGTCAGACGGAAATATCACAAAATCTCGCGAGATCAAGCGTGACTTCAGAGTAAACAATTATGGCGGACGAAGAGGATGCAGTGGCGATAGTTTGTTTTTAGCAGAGAAAAGACGTAATCAAAAGAAAAGGCAATAGTAGATATACTGGATGGTGCTATTGAGCAAGTGGTGAAAAGGTGGTACTGCACTGTATTTTTTTCAAAGAGGTGTCATTTTTGAATGTGTAATGAGTTAGCCTCTGTCTGGTGTTTCACAGTAGTCTAAAGTGATTTATTGATCAGGGTTTATCGTAGCACATGTGTGGTTCACACCGAGCTTATTCTTAAACAAACAGTGGTGCCTTAGTTAGTAAAGACACGTCAATAAACTAATTAATCTACAGGGAGGACCTGTCAACGACAGACACACACAACGGTGTGTGTGTGTGTGTGTGTGATAGCCTTATCATGATGAAGGGTTTGGAGGGAGGATGGACCTACAACGTCCAATCAGGGTGATACATGTAGTACCATGTGGTGAAAAGGTGGTATGGCGCCCTATTTTCCAAAAGGTAACACTTGAATGAAGCAGATCCCTTTCTCAAACTAAGGGTCTCCCTGAGGTTTCGCACTTTTTTTCATAGGAGTTTTGCATTGCTGATGCAGGATGGGTTTGTTGCACAGTTAGTGAGAAACTAGAAGGACTGTGGTGATGATCCAGCATACTTTAATATTCTACAACATGTAGTGGTCTATATTCTTTATGTGTTTTAACTGCTGATTCTCCGATCTGTGTTGGTGATTTTCAATAGTTTTTTTGGTAAGTCCTCTGAGATGACTCCAGTTGTGATTTAGGGCTATACAAGAATAAATTGTATTGTATTGTATAGGTGTTTTATTTTTATTTTCTGCAACAAGTGGTACTGCACCCGAACTCTGAAAGAGCGACACTTAGGTGTGTGTGTGTGTGATAGCCTTATCATGTGGCCCAGAGTGTTGCACTAAAACAATAGGAGGATAGTTGTTATTTTTCACGGAGATGGGCGCAGGGTTCTAACTGGTACACCAGTATGAACGATCCGTCTGAAACTCACCTGATGACAAAGGTTCCGTGGAGCAAAAACACATATATTTTTTGTGTGCGTTTATCAATCGTAATTAATGCGTTATAATCCTAACCCTATTCATAAGGTAGTAGTCTCTATATCAATTTAATTGTCCAATACAATAAAAATAAGAACCCTATATACATATATGTACACAGTTTGAAACAGAGTAGGTAGATGTGAAACTAGGGTCCTTGGTACAGGTTTTCTTTTACGCGAGATCAAATGATTTAAAGGCGTACATCTCTCAGATATACAATGACACTTGTTACCATAAATAGTCATCTTTAAGACTGATTAAACACCCATATTACATACCTTAAACATTATGTACAACATTTTACCAAAACACAAACCATTAATTAAAATCCAGATTTTCTTATTATGTAACACTCTCATATTTATTGAGTATAGTAGATTTGTTTCTTAACTCTTTCAGTGCCAGACATTTTCAGAACATCACTCCTCCAGTGCCAGCCGTTTTGCTGATTTTCACCGACTTTTAAAGACCCATAGAATATGTTCTGCTATGACTAGCTTAAATCTGAGACCATATTCTGAAAGATTGAACCCTCTAGTTTACTCAGAAAAAATAAGTGTGTTTCTATCGGCTTTAGTTCTTCTGTAATCACCATTGGAGTAAGGTAAACTTTTCACAGAAATCATCAGTTTCCGACATAAAGCTGAGAAAATGAGGTGTTTGTGAAAATAAGCAAACAATGCAGAAAAGTGACTTTGAAAAGTTTTTTTTTACTTTAGTCATTTCTCACACAACAGAACATTCTTCCCATGTATAAAATAAGGGAAATGACTCAAAATAAAGTGCTTTTGATAGCAAAATAATACTCAGAACACAGAATAATACTCAACACAGAATAAGAAATGTACAAACATAAATTACAAACAAATAACTATATACATAAAGTGCTGATTGGCTGAGAGTGTGCGTGTGTGCGTGCGTGCGTGCATGTGTGCGTGCATGTGTCTCTGTCTATATAGTGTAATCTTGTTGTGTATGATATTTTGTGAAGCACTCTCCTTTGTGTAAGGGGACACCACATGCCTTGCACCACATCCTGGTCTCACTGCGCAGGCCTTTGCGCATGCAGACCCTGCATCTCCTCGAGGGTCTGGTCTTCGAGCCGGAGGACAGCAGGTACTCCACTTTGTGCCTGGCACCCTCATCGAGCCTGCTCTCTGGATCAGTGTTATATGGAGCCCTGGGGTTTCGTGGTGCTCCTTCCTCCACACATGCAACGATCGACTCGTTCTCCTTGTTGTGGTCCTCCTCGTCCTCCTTGTCCTCAATGTCCTCGATGTCCTCCTCGTCCTCCTCGTCCTCCTCGTCCTCGATGTCCTCCTCGTCCTCATCCTGGACCTTCAATGTCCAGGACCTCATGACCCCCTGCATGAATTCCAAGAGGGTTTTGTATTCCCGGTTCCCGTTCCTGGCTCTGTAGAGAGTGTAGGCATTGTACATTGCGATTTGGAACAGGTAAGCTACAAATTTTTTGGTCCAGTTCAGAGACTTCCGGACGAACGGGTAATATTTTATGTTCTGATCCAATCGATCCACGCCATTCATGGAGGAGTTATAGGCATCGACACACTCCGGTTTTAGGACAGACACCTTCTCCCTCTGTCCTCGCTGCCAAACGTCGACACTCGTCATATTGTCATGGTGACATGTTGTCAACATCTTGACAATCCGTTTGTCCCGCCACGCCAGAACCATGACCTTCCCATTGTTCACCGCGACTCTCCCCCCCACACTCAGCTCAGTCTTGGTCACGTCCCTAATGCTCTCAGGCTCTCCCCGGTTCTTCCTTAGCGTCCCACACACATTTGTTTTTACTGCCATCAACTGCTCAGACAATGCCACAGAATTGTAATAGTTGTCCATAAACAGAGTGTGGCCGGCACCTGGGAGACGGTCAAGGAGAGAAAAAACAATGTCAGGGATCGTGCGGGGGTCACCAACATAGGGCTGCAGGTTAAAGCAGTAGCCGGTGGCAGAGTCGCAGAGCACATAGGACTTTATTCCATACTTTATGGGCTTCTGTGGGTTGTAGACCTTGAAGGCCAGCCGTCCTCTCCAGAGCAACATCCCCTCATCTATGCAAATATTCTGCCCGGGTTGGAACATTACCTTGAATTTATTGATCAGGTAGTCGTAGACTGGGCGAACCTTGTATAACCTGTCAGTTACATCAATTGCAGAGTTGTCATTGTAATGGAGGAACCTCCATATGAGTTGGAACCGGTTCCTGGACATTATTTTAGTGAAGAACGGGGTCACAAACATCTCATCCACGTTCCAATACATTGCCAGGGTTGGCTTGTGGATAACACCAGTGAGGAAAGATAATGCAAAGAACTTTTTTATCTCTGGAATGGTCACTGGTCTCCATGCATGCTTTCTGCTGTGTTGCGGAATCTCTGGGTTTGCCAGGAAATGCTGTTGAGCATAGAGGTTGGTCTGCTCTGTGATGTGCTGGAGCAGCGCTCGTCCGTGAGGAACAGCTCCAGGAAGTCAGCAGGCGAGGTGGACTCCAGCTCTGCTGCCGCGTTCAGGGGACCAGGCGTTGCAGTGAAGGGGAACACAGTGGGTTTCCATCCGGATTTCCGCCAGGTGCCGCCTTTACCCTTTGCAACTGTAATAAATTATGGAAATGTATACAATAAATAGGAATCAAATAGAGCTCGTTTTATTGATTTGATGTGATGTAGAGAAAGATATTCCTACCTCTTTTCTTCACACCTGTATTTGCAGCACTCACGCTGGCAGCGCCTCTGCTCAATGTAGCGCCTGTATAGAATTGTACAATAACTCATCTATCCATATACACACATATCCAAATACATATACATCTACAGACGCACATATCCAAAGACACACAGACACACATGCACAGAGACACACGCACAGAGACACACGCACACACACACTACACACTACATACATATTATACACATACATATACACACACATGCATATATACATACATATATGAGTATTTTATTTACCTGTAGGCCTCCTTTTACCAGCATTAGTACTCCTGGATTGGCCCAGCACTCTGCTTACTAGAAATACACACAAATACAATCATGAGAATTATACAAGAATACTTTTATTTCATTGCTAAATGCATATGTATAATGTATGCATTACCTGCTCTGCCGGTTGCTCTGGGGGAATCGGGGGATGAGTCACTGCTGTTTGGGTCAGCTTCAGGTTCCCATAGCTCTGAAGAGCCTGTATCCGACGAGGAACTTTCTCTGGACCGACGTGGACCACTGGAACTGCGTGCGGCGGCTCTGGAGCGACGTGCGCGGCAAGGACTCCCGCCAACGGCCAGATGTTTAGACTTAGCTTTAGCCGTAGCCTCAGGCTTTTTGCCAACTGAAGGCCGAGGCAGATCACCTCCACCTTCCTCATGGCCATCACCCACCGACCTTCTGATGGTACCACCAGCACCAAACGCCTCCTCCATCGTTAGCTGCCGCTTTCTGCTCATATTCGCTCTCCCGATTACTCTCTTGTGCTCACTCTAACCAACCTACTCCCACAATGAGATCTGGGCTTCCGGTTCCTTTTATGCCTGATCGAAGAGCTAAAGGAGGCTACTGACATCTGCTGGCCGAATAAAATACTGTCAAACAGTCCCGATCAGAGATATATGATAGAATGGATGCGTCTGGATCTGAATACACCAAAACACGTCAATTGCATAAAATGCGTCAATGGCACACAAGCACAGATCTTGAATTGACGTAATATGCGTCATTGGCACTGAAAGAGTTAAGGGAGACCCACTTCAGGTCCGCCTCCAGAACCAACGTCAGGTCCCAGGGTGGAACCATGGGCCGTCGCGGGGGATGAAGACGGCGAGCACCCTTCAGGAACAGGGAAACATCCCCGTTACTCCCCACCGTAGAACCGGCCACACCCTCATGAAAACAAGATATTGCCGCCACATATACCTTGAGTGTAGAGGGAGAGCGCCCCCGGTCCATGAGATCCTGGAGGAACTGCAGAATGGCAGGCACCGGGCAACGCACAGCATCATGTCCCCACGTCAGACACCACTTGTCAAACAGCTTCCATCGGTTGGCGTACTGTCGTCGAGTGGAAGGCGCCCTGGCATTGGAGATGGTGTGGGCGACCCCCTCACCATACATCGGGACAATTGCACTGGACCCCGCAGTGGCCACACCCAGAGCTGAAGCCGCTCGGGACTGGGGTGCAGGAGCCTCCCCCCCAGCTGGGACAGGAGATCCCGCCGTCGGGGCAGCGGTCTCTGAGAGCCGCAGCAGAGCCTGTGCAGCAATGGAAACCAGATCCGGCCCGGCCAGAACGGAGCTACCAGGAGAAGGTGGTGCCCCTCCTGGAGAACTCTCAGGAGGGTTGGGAAAATCAGTGGCAGAGGAGGGAAAGCGTAGAGCAGCGTACTGGGCCAATCGTGCGCCAGCGCATCCAGGCCCAGAGGGCAAGCCACGTCCGTCAGGGAAAACCACAGCGGGCAGTGGGTCGACGCCTCCGACGCATACAGGTCCACCTCGGCCCGGCCAAACATAGTCCAAATGCTGGCCACCACCTCCGGGTGGAGACGCCACTCCCCGGGCTGGGGGCGTTGGCGGGACAGAAGGTCCGCCACCACATTGTGCACCCCCGGAATGTAGGAGGCCCTCAAGCTTGCCAAGCGAGGGGCTGCCCACAGCAGTAGCTCCCGGGTCAACCGCAACAGCGTCACGGACCGGGTACCCCCCAGGTGGTTGACGTGATGCACCACCGTGGTGTTGTCGGACCGCACCATGACATGCCGGCCACGCAGTCGTGGGAGGAAGTGCGCGAGAGCAAGGCGGACCGCCATGAGCTCCAGGGCATTCACATGCAGCCGGCGGACCTCTGGAGACCAAGTCCCCTGTGCCATCCTGCCCTGCCACGTCGCCCCCCAACCAGTGAGGGACGCATCGGTGTGCACCACCTCCCTCCGAGACGGAAGAGAGCCCAGTGGGACACCTCTCTCGATCCAAGACCTGTCCCGCCAACAGGATAGGGACTCTAGGCACTGCGGCGAGAGCAGGAGTCTGCGTCGCCTGTGAACGAAGCGTGACGGATCTAAACGTAATCCGTTCAGCCACATCTGCATGGGACGAAGGGAGAGAAGGCCCAGCGGCACAACGGCAGAGGCCGCCGTCAACTTCCCCAAGAGGCTGAGGTACAGCAGGAACGGCAACGCCCGACCCCGCTGAAATCTGTGGAGCATGTCCACAATGCCATCGACCCGCAGAGCCGACGGACGGGCGGTCATGGCAACCGAATCTAGGTACACCCCCAGGAAAGTCGTTGCCTGAGCCGGAACCAAATTGCTCTTGGCAACATTGACCCGCAGACCCAAACGCCCAACGTGGTCGAGGACAGTCTGAGTGTCCCGAACGGCCTGGGCACGACTGGAGGCGCACACGAGCCAGTCGTCCAGATAAGGCAGGACCCTCAACCCCCCTGCCTGAAGAGGGGCCAAGGCCGCCGCAACGACCCGGGAAAAGACCCTGGGGGACAGGGACAGCCCGAAGGGGAGCACCCGAAATTGATAATGCCGCCCCCGGAAAGCAAAACGCAGAAACCGCTGGTGATGCGGGGCAATCGGCACGTGAAAATAAGCATCCTTCAGGTCGATGGATGTGAACCAATCGCCCGGAGATATTGCCTGCAACAGCTCCGGGGTCCTCAACATCCGAAACGATATCGTCTTGAGGAACACATTGAGGCCCCGAAGGTCCAAAACCGGACGCAAGTCGCCAGTTTTCTTCGGAACTAGAAAATAAATCGAATAAAAGCCCCCTGGGTCCAGCAGGGGGTCCACAGGCACTATAGCCTCCTTGTCCAGCAAGGTGGCAATCTCTACGGACAGTGCCAGTGTCCTGGCCCGGTCGTGGATCACAGTCCACCTGACGGGGCCAGGGACCGCAGGCCGACGGTGGAACTGGAGAGTGTACCCCCGGAGAGCGTGCCCAACACCCAGAGGTCTGAGGTGTGAGCGGTCCAGTAGTCCAACTGCTCCCGGGTAAAAGAACCCACCGTCAGCGGCCTGACCTCATCTCCGAGCCCCCCGTGGCCTGGAGACCCCGGGAGGGCGCCCGAGAGCCCGTGCGTTCTGGGGAGGCCGCCGGGTAGAAGGCCGAAATCCCCTATGGTCAGGCGGAGGGACACCTGGTGGCCGCGAACCCCTAGGAAAGGGCTGTGGAACACCATACACCCGCGGAGTAGCAGCAGGAGGGGCCCAGCTGGTCACCACGGCGTCCGGGTGGCCTGCGCCGTGCGCTCCAGCGCCTGAAGCGCAGCCGCACCGAAGAGCTCCCCCGGAAGCACCGGAACACTCCGGAGAGTCCTCCTACAGGGCTCAGTGAGGGGTGACTGTGCCAACCACACCTGCCGACGTGTCTGAGTCAGGGTCGACAGCAGGCGGCCCAGTTCCCCGCGACATAAGGGCAAAAGCGTGGAGGGATGCATCCAACAGTCCCTGGGTCGGGGCATCGACTGTAGAAACCTCCAGTGCGTTCGAAAGGCCCAGTAACAAATGGGAAAGAGAGTTCCCCATGCGCCCCATTCGCGCCCCAGTATCGTACGCCCGACACAGCAGCTCATCTGTGAGGCGACACTGGGGGTTAGGGCACCTCGGATCAGACCGGAGGGCCTCCTCCGGCGAAACAATCAAGGAGGCCACTGCCGGCTCGACGGGCGGCATGTGGCCCAAGCCAAATTTGGGGGCATCCTGCATTGAAGCCAAAGCCCGGCCATCGGACGTCAGTCTGGACATAGCCTTTGTATCCGTCCAGCATGCATGTAACTCCTTCACGTACTCCATCGAAGGAGGCACAGAGACAGAGGGAAGGGGCCGCTGTCGCTTAAAGAAGGCGCTACCAGACGGCACAGTTCCCTGCGGGACATCAAGCCCCAAGTGGGCGAGTGCAGAGCGGACGGCAGAGGACGCCCCACTCTCCTCTCCGTCCAGGCACCCCGTGGACGCCAAGGAACCAGCGTCAGAGGCCCTGGAATCAACCTCCTCAGGGTCAAGACAAAAATGAGTGTCAGATGCAGCCACAGACATCACATCGTCCTCCCACAACGGGCCAGGTCCGGCACAGGAGGGCCCAGCACATGTTCCCCCGAAACCGGGCGAACATCCTGCAGAAGTGCCTTCATTTGGGCCATCTCGGATGCAAGGTGGTCCATCCGTGCAGACAACCCTGCAGGCACCCTACGCTTCCTCTGCGGAGCCGAGGAAGCAGTGGACACAGCCGCACGCTTAGACCCAGAGGGCTGGGCAGCAGGTGGCAGGCAGGGCGGCACCTCCGAAGAGCCCTCATCCGGATCCAGGGCCGCCAGGCGCTCCACGCGTACAGAGAGTGGCAGTACCGCACAATTGGAGCAGGCGTCCACCGTCAGGCCCTGTCTCAAATGCCCGATACCCAGGCACGCAGGGCAGAGGTCATGGCCATCCTCGCGGGGCATCGGTGCCATGCACCCACGACAGCCCAGCGACTCGTGCATAACGAAGCTCCTCTAGTCTCTACAGCCTGTGTCCTCTAGTCTCTACAGCCTGTGTCCTCTAGTCTCTACAGCCTGTGTCCTCTAGTCTCTACAGCCTGTGTCCTCTAGTCTCTACAGCCTGTGTCCTCTAGTCTCTACAGCCTGTGTCCTCTAGTCTCTACAGCCTGTGTCCTCTAGTCTCTCGACAGCCTGTGTCCTCTAGTCTCTACAGCCTGTGTCCTCTAGTCTCTACAGCCTGTGTCCTCTAGTCTCTACAGCCTGTGTCCTCTAGTCTCTACAGCCTGTGTCCTCTAGTCTCTACAGCCTGTGTCCTCTAGTCTCTACAGCCTGTGTCCTCTAGTCTCTACAGCCTGTGTCCTCTAGTCTCTACAGCCTGTGTCCTCTAGTCTCTACAGCCTGTGTCCTCTAGTCTCTACAGCCTGTGTCCTCTATCCTCTACAGCCTGTGTCCTCTAGTCTCTACAGCCTGTGTCCTCTAGTCTCTACAGCCTGTGTCCTCTAGTCTCTACAGCGCTGCTTAACACCAGGGCTTCGACTTCAAAATTCGAATATAATTCTAAAATAAAATATATACATATTTGAACAAATATTAGACAACCCTTATAATTAGAAATGTATTTAATGACTGCAAATAAAATAGTTAGCTCCCAAAGGTTTCACCGGGACGTGCTAGGCAGGTAACAGCTAAGCTAGCTAGCTGTTTCATGGTAACTTCCGGGTTTTTCGCGATCGCTTTTTGTCACTTTAAAACAGTATTTTTGTCATGAAAACGTTGACAGCAAATTCTGAAATCGTCCGTGCATGTGTGTTAAGGATGTATATGTATACTGTATTGTCCGATTGACGTTTAATGGTGTTGATTGATATGTATTTGTTTATTGAGCGTGGCTAGCTCAGCTAGCTTCTCTACACAGACAAGTGTGCAGAAAACTGCACAATGTAGTGACAGGCGCTGATAGCTTGT